ATTATACTGGTTTAGGTACACAGTAAAAACACAATGCTTTTTATATAGGAATTTTCCCATTTCCTTCATACATACACCTGCCTCGACCCATCAAATTGCATGACCCTATGATTCATACGCGTGCGCGCGCGCGCACACACACACACACACACACACACACACACACACCCATCCTCATCCCTCTGCTCCCAGCCTCCCTGCCTCAGATCCTCATACACGTTCTACAATAATGACCTTATACGGTATTTGTCTTTATACTCACCATTTTTGTAAATTACCGCATCTTCTTCTTTAATCAATACCTTTTTGAAAGATATGTTCACATTATCTCCCCTGTCCACAGTCATAGTTAAAGTGGCTGGTAGGAAGGAAGCTTTGAAAAACAGAAAGAAAAATAATTACCAAAGTGAAATCACACAGTTGCTTTCTGTGATATGAAACAAGTGGTGGTCGATTGAGTCTAGTCTTTCTGAAGATCATACACCCTTTTAAAAATCTGATGAAAGATATGGTGATTTCCTTTGTAAAAATACAAATACACACACAACATACACACTCAATTTTTCCATGTAACTGGTTAGGGAAATATTGGTTAATATATATTATCAAAATAAGATGTAATATCAACTACAAACTGCATTAACGATGACATTTCTCTCTGATCCCTACCAAAGTACGAAGGAATCTAAATGTCGCTCTTACTCTCGCTCTCCCTTCATTCTCGCTCTCTCTCTCTCGCGCTCTCTCTCTCTATCACACACACTTCTTAGTCTTTTTGTTTTGTTTTTGTCCAACCTAATCTTCATGGCTTTAGAAGGCCCACATACACATTTTAATGGGACCAGCATAATGCAAGACTTATTACAGATAACAAAATTATCAAAAAATAAGAATAAAGGAAGAATGAACCATAGTATCTTCTTTCCTATAATTTTATATGCACTGATATATGAGTGAACAATCCTTGGAAGCAGTTATGGAAGCTGTTGTAGACTTGACTTAGACTATCTACTCAGATACCTCAGTCTTTGAGTCAGACTTGGGACATGCCACTGTCTGCCTGCACTGGTTAACTGGACCCCAAGTGTGAATAAAATCTTTTCATATTCTCCCAGGCACACCAGAAATCCTTTAATGTGCCCTTATAATCTATAAAGAGTCACAACTATAAGAAGGAGGGAAGATTAATTTTGAAGTGTATTAAATCAATGTTAAAGATAGAAAACTTAACATTATTACTGAAAAATGTAAAAAATTTGAATGACACCGTTGAAGATATACTGGATGTTACGGATGCTTGTGGGCAGTTATCTTAATGTGTGTTTTCAAGCATGTTGCCTGCATCTTAAGGCACTGAGAAGAAAAAAGGGGGAAGACAATACATAAATTTCCAAACTATGGAGAGTAGGAGCAAACGTTAAAAGAAAGAGACAATATAGCAGAAGACAGAAAGGGAGGAAAAAGACTTAAAAGCCATGGCATATGGAAAAGACAAAATTATGAGATCATGTAAAAAAAAATCTGTTAGCAGAGGAGAAAGATACGTAATCTCCTCTCATGTGATTTTTAGCCATGGAAACATAGAGGGTCATCTATGTATCAGCTATGACTAGATGCTAAGGAAAGAAAAAGATGTTCATCAGCATTGATTACTTTTATGGGAGCTCTGGTGGCCTAGTGGCAAGAAGCTGTGCTGCAACCCCAAAGGCATGTGGTTCAAATCCACCAGATGTTCCACTGGAAAAGGAAGGGCATTCTCCTCCTGTGCCAGTGGGATATGATTTGATAGCACACAACGAGTTAAAAAAAAAAACAAAACCCCAAACACCCCAAACCAATGATTACTTTTATAAAATGTAATGAATGGAAATGATTGCATGAAATGCAGTGTGAAAGGAGAGGGTGAAACACAACATACACAAACTTTGTAAGCAAACATATAAAATAATTTTTTTTAAAAAGAAAAAGGTATTTAATAGAAATCAGTGAGTCTCTGAACTTTTAAAAGTATATCTACCATCTTCATCCTTTTTTATCTACACCTTAAACACAGTGACAGGTTGTGAAAAATAGGATAGAAAAAATTATACTAACTACGTGGAGTTGGTGTTTCGATATTTATATTAGAAATATTCATTTTAAAGAAAAGTGCTAGCAATAAAGAGTCTTGGTTTTTAATATCGATTGTGTTTGGATGAGCATTAAGTTCCATTTGATAATTTCGACCTTGCTTTTCAACGTCGGTTCAACGTCAGTTCACCTTTTTCATGACGAGTCTTCGCCTCTTCCACTGTGTCCAGTTGTCTTTTTCCTTTAGTCCCCTGTTCCTTTTAGCTTCTCATCTCTGCTCTGGCATTTTTCACTGATTTTTTTGGTTGTGGATGTTTGAACTGGAGCACCAAACCCATGGAAATGATCCTTTATTATTCTTCAGTATGCCAATCTGTTCTTTAAAATAAGTACTCATGCTGCTAAAAGGTGACATCATGAGATATTTGTAAATATAAGGTCAGGGACTCATCTAGTTTTAAATGGTCCAGTAAAACTGGGTTTTTTTAAGAATTTGAGTTCTTTTCCATATTTTTTTCACATTCTATCCAGGTCCATCCAGATTGGTCATGATAGGAATGGACCATGGTGTTAAAAAGATACCATCTAGCTCTTCTGGGAGACAGTCTTTAAATAATAATAAAAAGGAGTCACCCACCACAAAGATATAATAATACTCTACTTGTATTTGGCACCTAAAACCAGAGCAACAGATGCAAAAGCTGACCATTACAGGGAGAAACATCCTCATCATAATAGACACTTTCAGAAACTAATTGAACTAGCAGACTGAAAATTATTATAGAAAAATAGAAAAAAGATTTTAATAACACAGTTGAAAGTCTGTTGGATGCTCATGGAATCTGGTGCCCAGTTAAATGAATACATGTTATTTTCAGGCCCACTGCCTGCATATTAACCTACAAAGCACAACCCCTTGAATAACAAATAATATTCAGATTTTCTGACCAGCATGCACTTGAATTATATTTTTTTAAAAATCCATGAGAAAATGGTTACAGCTGGAAACAACCCAAGTGGCCATCAACAATTGAATAAATAGAGAAGCTCTGGTATATTCACACAATGGAATACTATGCTGCCTTGAAAAACAAAGAACCCATGAAATATTATGCAAAATATATGACCTTGAAGGACATTATGCTGAGTGAAATATCTCAGTCACAAAAGGACAAATATTTCATAGGGCCACTGTTGTAAAATGGGACTGACAGGATTTTGGGAAGACAGAAAAGGAGGGGAGGAATGATGTATATTGCATTAAAACAGATGAGGAAGAGAACTGTTTAAAAGGAATATATGACTGGGTATTCTTATCATTACAGAAGTCCAGAGTGAAAGCTGCATAGTGGAGTGGACTTGGGGGAGGGGGAGGGATTGCATATCAATGGAAAAGTTTTTCTTTTTCTTTTCAAGGAGAAGAGTGAATTGAGGGGGAGGGGGTGGGCAGGGAGAATAGTGCGACAATGAAAGAGCAGAAATCCTAAATCTCTGTAAAGTTTAATTTAAAAATAAATGGGAGAAAATTTTTAAAAATTACCAAAAAAAGAAAAGAAAATGCTTGCATCTCCCTGAAGGGTTTCACTCTGGTCCCAATCTTTGAGAGCCTGGGAAACTCCTGTTGAAGAACTTGGGATGAATCATGAGGTCTCTGAGATGTTGCTCTCCTCTAGTCTGAGTATTTGGGGTCAATGGCTTAAGAGAGGCTATTCAAGTTCAATGTAAACCTTTGGTATAAATGGCAGCTCTGAGGACAGAAGATTCCTCTGAACTACAGTCAAGAGGAGTCAAACCTCTCCACTCATGAGCTGTATCTCCTGTCATGGTCAGGAGACCACCTGACAAACTCTCTGGGGTCATCAGGTAGGTGATTGCCTTTGGAGCAGGTGCAGATGACGACAGGGGGAAAACCCCGAGGGAGATTGATGTAGAACAAGGGATGCTATCAGTGTTAGAATCAGACAATCTCAGACTTATGTCTACACTAAGCCATTTACGAGACACTGGGCATGAGTCAAGTATGATTCATTGCAACCCTGTGAACAACAGATTTTTAATCCCGTCCTATCTTGTGCCATCTTAATCATCTCTGACATACTGGAGCCCATTGCTACAGTCACTGTGCCAATCACTTTGAAGGTCTCCTCCACCTTTCCAAGCATGAAGTCCTATTCCAAGCACCAATCCCTCCTAACAACATGCCCAACGTATGGAAGACAAAGTTTTTTCATCCTTGCCTCAAAGGAACATTCTGACTGTACTTTTCCCAAGACATATATGTTTTTCTTTTGGCAGTCCATGGAATATTTGGTAATTGTTGTTGCTGTTGTTAGGTGCAATCAAGTCTAGTATGACTCAGAGCGATCATGTGAACAACAGATCTAAACACTGTCCTATCCTGTGCCATCCTAGCAATTTCTGACACATGTAAGCCCATTGATGTAGTCACTGTATCATTTGATCCCATTGAGGGCTGTCTTCTCTTTTGCTGACCCTCCACCTTTCCAAGCATAATGTCCCTTTCCAAGGAATAACCTGTTCTAGCAACGTGCTCAAAGAACATGAGATGGAGCTTTGCCGTCCTTGTCTCTAAGAAGCATGCTGGCTGCACCTTCCCCACGACATACGTGTTTGCGTTTTTAGTAGTCCATTCAACATTCAGGACTGTTCCCCAACATCACTACTCAACAGCGTCAATTCTTCTGTCATCCTTATTCATTGTCAGACTCTCAGATGCACAGCAAGTGATTGAAAACACCATTCAGACTGATGTCATTGTCCTCAGTAATTTGAAGAATAATTAGGAAGGAATATTCATTTTAAAAAAGTTGTCAAAGGCAGGACAGCATAAAAAAAATTGGGAAAGGAAAATGTACATGAATGAATTAATGAAAACAAATCTCTCTGTGAACACTTACCAAAATTAAAACAAATAAATAAATGTAAAAGGTTGTCAAGAATATCCAATGATGAAGGAGCTCTGGTGGCCTAGCGACAAGAACCTGTGCTGCAATCCTGAAGGCGCATGGTTCAAATCCACCAAATGCCCTGCTGGGGAAGGAGGGACAATCTCCGCCTGTGCCAGTTGGATCTGATTCAACAGCACACAACAACAACAGTAAAAAGAATATTCAATGATGTAAGTCAAGGTCTTTTTGTTCTTTCTGTTAGGCAACACTGAGTTGATTCCACCTCAACAACAGAGTAGATATGTGCATAGGGTTTTTAAGACTGTGCTCATTGTGGGAGCAAAGAGGCAAGTCTTTCTTTCGAGGCATCATCAGATGAGTGTGAACTGTCAGT